CAAACGGCGTTGAAGAGGATGAGGCAGAAACGGCTACAGATTGAAGAAGTTATATTGGCATGAAGAAATCACCTTAACGAAAGAAATAAAGTGAGATTCTTTGATCGAATTAACAACGAAATTATCAAAGAAGTATTTAACTAAAATGTAAATCAATTTCTTGATTTTGGATATTTACGATAAATTAGGGAATTAGTACGCGAATAGAAAGAGAATTATGTTTAATAAATAAGCGCATAATGAAAATGTTACTATTACAACGTTTCTTCTTAATTTACATTTTATACTTTAAATTAGCTAACTCTCTAGTAATCTCGTTACTTCATCTAAATTACTTATACCTTAAAGATGTAAGTTTGAATAATTTACAAGATTATGTATTTTATGCTTGACTTATACTAAAGATAATTGTTGCTAAAAAATATTTAATAATTTATATCGTACTTGAAGCAATTATTCTTCACACTGTTTTTAAAATGTATGTAAATAACCGTTAATATGTTCATTGAAACGAATTGTGTATTTATTATTTTACTTACAAAGAGTCGGATTATATTTTTGTATATTATATATTTGAAATTAAATAATGGAATTTGCAAGTTAAAAATCAAATAAAATATTAGATATTCTGTATTGATATTTTTTATCATATTTTTCATTATTTAATAATGTATATGATTTTATAGTACTGTAGTGTGCAATTAATGGACAGCTAAATAATTGATGTAATAATATAATTTATGTAATAATATATGGGTAGGTAAAAATAATAGAGCCAGCGTATACATATTTATACATATGTATATATATATATATATATATATATATATATATATTGGTTACTACTCATGTATATAATATAACGTATACAATTTATTATAAATCTATATAATTACACAAAAATAACAAATAAAAGCTAAATAGTGGCTAGATTTAATTATAAATAATAAAATTACGTAAAATATTTCTAATAAAATTCGAAATAATAGATTAAAATTAAAATTAATTCTCAAACTAGACTGATATATAGATAAAATTAAATTAAAGAATATTCATTCTAACTAGCATCAAATGCGCATTGCAATAACAAAAAATATTAAAATTTTACAACCTTGAATATTAATAATAGTACTAGATCATTATATATTACTATAATCACATTGATATATGATTTAATATCTTTGTATATTACCTTACATATTGACTTTGTACTTTACGTAATCTCAGAATATCCGATGTGTAGGTCATACATTGGTAAACAATGCAATTAGCATAGCAATTACTGTTAAAGTGAAGCGTCTGTAATCATTAGACTACTCCTTATTTATTTTGTGCTGCTAGTTATGAGGATAAGCCGTAGGTATTATTGAAAGTCGCGATGCGAGTGAAAGAAAGTATTATTGAAAGTCGGTAGCTACAGGCTTCCAAGTATCCAGGCATATACGTTTCACGACTTGACATTCTTCCCTCGATGTACGACTGCTCTGATCCACCGCAGTCGAGCTTCGCTTCCGTTGCTTCGATCCCTCGCAATTACCTTCCATTATCCGAGTATTACGAGCCTTCCCAAGTAGACGAGAATTACCCGAGGGAGAAGCGAGGCGATGGCTCGCATTGCCAGACTCTGCGATTCTTTCGGAGTAAGCTTTTTTCTTTTTCACCCAACCCTTCGGGCCGGGATTTTTTGAGTATATTTATATATATATATATATGTGTGTGTGTGTGTGTGTGTGTGTGTGCGCGCGCGCGCGCGAGTGTGCGTGTGTGTGTGTGTGTATTTCATTGGTATTTTCTAAAGGGACAAAATTTCACAAATGTTCATATAGAATAAAAGTGTCTTTTAAGAATTCAAGTTTTCGTCATATAATAACTGCCGTATACATTTTATTGCCAACAGACGAACACGATTACTTCAAGTAAAACACTATCCAAGCTCTTTAAGAGTACAAAAATTGATAATCCGTCAATAACGAATAGAGAAATAATTGAAATACCAATTTAATTATTGAAAATATTTTATGATTTTATTGTAAAAATATATCTAATGCAATTTAATATATACAACTTACAATATAATTTAATATGATAATGTATCGAATAATTCATTCAAATTAATATAATACCAATTTATAAATATCCATGGTACTGACATCACATTAAAATAATAATATAACTTTTTAATAAATATGAAATGAGATAATTCTAGCTTTTTCTTACTTACTTTGGAAAACCCAACAACTTCAATACTTGCCTGTTTTTTCATACATTAGAGTCTTTTATAACGACCGCTATTACAAACATATAATTATCATTTCTTATATAATTGTGTAAACACACACTGAGATGTATTATTAATAGTTAATAGTTGCCTTTAAAATAAATGAAGAGTAAGAAGAGTATTAGACAATACGCTGAAATTATGAGATCCAGTAGCGTCTCGCTTAAGAAATAAAAGTCGATGCCTGAATAAATGTATAGAATTCCAATGCGCAAAAGGATAGATTTGTAGCTGCGCATAAAAATGGAGTAAAGCTGAAACGCAGAGGAGAGCGTTGGAGCTTTGGATTGCGTAACAGCTAACAACTCGTTATGTCATGGTAGAGAAAAATGGCCGACGCGACTAAAACATGTTCATTAGAGTCTTGCCAATGATTGGAAAATAATAACATAAAAATTGTATATGAAAAAAATAAAATAAATGAAAATACATATTTTTGCCCGTCGTAACTTCACGCTGTCATTTTTCATTCGTAAGGAAAAATGGCCAACAATGGATTTCTTTCGAGCCGCTTTATTCATCAATATTTTAACGGTGAACGATATTACTAGGAAATATCTGCATATTTGTCAACACTGTAAAAAATTAAAGTATAACAGTAAATTTATTGTAATATTAAGCTTCAGATGTATATAAATCAATCGATAAATAAAAAAAAAAAAATATATATATGTGAGTGAATAAATAAGACTATATGATTTTCATTTATATTTTGAATTATTATTTATAATTACTTTATGGCTTTACATAATTCTTGCTTTCTTAGCGAGAATAAAAACGATATTTACAATGTTGTTTTAATCGTACATTACGAATGTTTCTATTGTTGTTGTTTTTTTTTATTTTTTATTTCTTTTTTTTTTTTTTTTTTTGAGTAATTTTACATGATTTCATAAGTATTTGATGATTTATGCTTTTTCTATATTCATTTGAAGTTATCAATCCTTTCAAAATTTTATACATGATATATGCATATCTCGGCTGCTGAAAACTTAAACAGTATTTTTAACACTAAAGTGGTTGCATTTTCTATCAATCAAATTATAATTAATTATTTTTATAATACATTTGTACTTTAAAAAATTGTAGACTAAACAATATTGTATTATATAATTTATATATTTATTGACTATACATTTCAACTGAACATGAAATTAAAAATGAAAATAATCTATTATTATATCATTCGCATTTTAAACACTTTGAGATTGAATGAAATTTCGTTCAAAAGCAAAGTGTACGTAAATAAAAAGTGTTTAGTCATTATTATCACTTAATGTAATGTATTTACATGTAGAATTTTGTATCTTTCAGCATTACAAAGTTTTAATCATCATAGTAGCATAATTAGTGGCACAAATAACTGTGTTAAAATAACACATTAAAAAGAATATAAAATCCGTCATACAAAATTATAAGTCTAAGTGTGTTATTTTAGCACACATAGATTTACAATTACTATAAAATAAATAATCCAATAGTTGTAATAATTTCTGGAAATGAAATTTTACTAACTATCACTATTATATGAAATTTAGTGTATTCTAATAAGACTTAAGTAATATGGTGGACCTAATTAGATGAAGAAATGAATGTTTTTTTAAACAAAATATTGCACCGATTCTTACACGAATAAAAACTAATTATTTAAATGCTTCAATTATATTATTAAAATAAAATGTTAATGAAATTTAATATAACAATTAGCTTATAAGAATTGTCAAAAGAAATTTATGAAACGCATTCGTTTTCAATATTTTCAGACAAATTTTTCTAAATAATTGCAATTTGTGTGTCGAATTTTCTTATTAAACATAAGAATTAAAGTTGTAATCGAATCTGAAAGCTCCGCGTACATTATTTATTTATAAAGTTAAAATAACGGAGTTTCAGTGTTGAAAGAAAATGGATATAATGTAAATTGAAGACGTCGTTATTTGGTTCAAAGTTGAAAAATTCGTTTTCTTACGGTACGATTTAAAACCTCATACCTACCGAATATAACTCGGACTTTCTTCCTACTACGTTCTTCAACAGCACTATAAAATTCTAATATTTCTTTAGTAAATAATACACATACAAACACGCGCGCTCACGCATATATACAACACACTCGACTTAATATGAAAGATAAGGTTGCCGATACAAGCAACGAAGTTGCTGTATCGTTCATCACTTTGACTCTCATCATCTTTTCCCCGTTGAAATTTCGCAATTTTCATCGCGAACTTTTCACGATCTAATCGAATATTAAATTACGAATAACTCGCTCTCCAAATTGAAATAACGAATTACTCAATTGGCATCTGAAAAAGTCGTACTCTTGAAAAATATTATATCACCGCAAACCTCGTTTCATCACTTCTAATAAAGATTAGAAAATTTTAAGCTCGACAATTGGCCATTTTTAACAGTGAGCCTAAGGTACGTCGATTTTATGAGACATTTCCATTCAACCAAGAGCGAAAGACATAACCGCACCGAGTTTACACAGCCGAGTCCCTTCTCCCTCCGTTCTCTTGCCACGTATATGAATTGGACTGCTGACACCACGATTCCACCACCACCACCACCACCACCTCCACCTCCACTCATTCGATCCCTGGTTAAGGCTCCGATGTGCCTGCTCCAATAAGCCAATGAATCCATGGATGACTTGGCCAGGAAAGGGCGGTTGTAGCGTTAACCGGAGCCACTCGAGTTCGCACTCTACTCGGCCGTCTCAGCGATGATGGCGCTGGTGGTGTGCGAGGCCAACGACCTGCTGGTGCATCGAGTGATGATGGAGTGGCTGTTCCTTCGCAACCGTCGGCGGCGAGCCCGGACTCTCGTCCCCGAGCACGTCGATCTCGTCTTCGTCGGAGTCGGCAATGGCGTCGCTCGATCCTCGACTCTCGCGACTGCCGCTTCCCAGGGAGAAGTCCACTGGCCGCTCTAGCGTTTCGATCGTTGCAGGACATAAAGCAAGACTAGGGTCAGCTGCAGGAAGCGACTACGACGGGGGACTCAAATTCCCGTCGACTTGTGAAAAAGTTGTGGACATTGCGCTTATGGAACATGGTTCGGTTATATTACGATGAGATATATATTTTGCGACCCGGAAGGATGCGCCCAAATTGAAATCTTTTGTTTTTTTTTTTCATCTCACTTTTCAATAGGATTTTCTTTGTTGGTTGGTCGGTGGTGATTATTAAGGCGGGAGATTCTTTAAGGTAAACGAGAATAAATATTAAAAAGGTTCAAAATAATGGAGTTGCAAATAATCGAAAAATAGTCGAAGTAATTATCAAAAGACATTCGTTTAAAGGTGTTTAAAATTAAATTGGTAAATATGGCTCGCGTTAGCGCACGTGCAACTACAACTTTTTCACAATTCCCTATATTTATGAATGATTATATCTTATTTTTTTTTTTTTAAAAAAAAAAAAAAAAAAAAAAAAAAAACACATTTAATCCATGACTACATATTATGTAATGTTACGATGAAAATATAACTTATACCATAATTGATATTTATGACGTTACAGTTATGTTACTATGAATTTTAATTTAAAATAACAATATTTAATATTATTAAATAATTTAATAATAATTTATAAATAGTTTTTGATAAATATGAAATATTTGTTATAAAAATTACGGCATATTATTATATTATATGGAGCATTATTTATTGGTAAATCGATTTTCATAATTGAGTTAGGCAAATTAAAGATATATATATATACATGCACAGCTATGATGATATGAAAAGCTTTGAACAAACCAAGAACATTAGCTATTGGAAATTTTTGAAGTAGAAATAGCTATAGTGGAGATTATAGAAATATCATTTTCAAAATATATCACAAGTTTTCAATGTAAATATACAACTACAATTTGTACGCACAAGTTGTTTATGCAGTAGAAATACGGAGTCGCCGAAAGAAAATGAAAATGCTATTTTTGAATTATGCATTACATAATGAACATTTAAAGCTGCTTAAAACGTCCAAGTCGATTATGCGCAAAGCCAGATCTTTTATGTGCGCGACTTTTGTGTGTGTGTGTGTGTGTGTGACTTATTACACTTACTATCGTAAAATAAAAATATCAGTCTGGAAATTCACGAAATGAATTGAAGTAAGGCATCAAGGAGAAATAGTACATAAGCCTCGACCGCTAAGCTTTGGGGCACGCGCAGAGCAATTTAGCCTTTTCTGCATCGTTCACTGACATTGGCGGGAGAACAATCGCGGCGAGTCAAGTCCGAGCACTTAGGAACGATGATCTAATTGATTAATTTTCTCGAAGACCCGGGACGGAGCTCTAAGACGACGAGGAGGTCCTTCTCGTTTTCGATGTCTCGTGCGCGTCAGAACGGGCCGAGAGAGCATTTCCTTGGCGGAGTTTGTCGATGAAAACTGAAAACGGAACGGGAGCGATGGTGACGCGGAGTACAAACGGGTGTAGAGACGGGGGAGGGACGGGGGTGGCGAAGACGTCAAAGTCTAACCTTGTTAGTGCCAAGGAACGGAGCCATCTTGGCTTCGACAAGTGTCTGCTATGTAGGGGCGAGCGCCGCGACTTTACCAGAAACGAGGCAAGAGAGCATTAAAGTGTGGACGGGGAAAAGGGAAGTGGGGGGGGGGAGTAACGGATACGTATATGGGTGAAAAATTGAAGCCGAATCCAAAATATTTTAACTTTCTTGTATTATATATATATATATATGTATAATTTGATAATAAAGGGTACAGCCCTGCTGATGCTTGTTACATCTACTCGTGCAAGTTTTTTTTTCTTTTTCTTTCTGGTGAATCGATGCCTCGAGGTTGTAAGGATACGCTTTAAAAAAAAGTAAAGCCGCTAACAGTTTTATAATTTCAATATTATTCACTCGGTTATTATAAAGATATCGTTTTATACCATTCAAGCCAGGTGGTTGAAAAATTATCGGGAAAATGATTTTACGAAATATTATATTAAAAATTACTATATATTTTTTCAATAGTAATGGTAGGATGAAATTATTCTATAGCAACATAATGCTTAATAGTCGATTAATTCTTATTCTCAATATTCACCAATCGGCGAAAAATGAGCTCCCGAAGACGTAAGGATTTCTCAAGAAATACTAGAAAATGTTGTCTTTCCGGCAAGATCATGCTAAAGAAAAAAAAAAAGAAGGAATGAGCACTCGCATAAAAGACAAATATAACGGGGATAAGAAATGAGATGATTTTTCGCGAGCGTGGCTGGGCAGGATGAAAAGAGAGGGGCTTAGAGTGGCAAGGAAACGTCATTGTAGCGAGCATTTTAGTATTACAGGTATTACAATGCGACGTAGTTAACTTCGATTACCTCTTCTACTTGCGCCGCTGAGTAAAGCTCGCGACCAACGCCCCGCCTAATTCCGGAATTAACTTCACACCATTTTTGCGTGTATGAGTTAATGTACGCATGGATAGTTTACATTTCCACGTAAAATATATTTTTAATCAAACGGTATTATACATTCTGCGTCTGCGCCTGCGTCACTCGAATTATATTTCCGTGTTTTATATGTGCTGTTGTCGCTCTGCCTTGCATCCCTAATTTTACTTCATCAAAACGCACGTGCGCACACGCCCGCAAATCTTCTCGTTTCTCGTGTGACGACGACTCGTGACTTATATTTTACCCTGCTTTTATCCACCTACGATTATATCACTGTCTCACTCAAGAAGCTACTCATGACTCAGTACACGTGAAGAAATGTTTCCTTACTTGCTAAAGCGCGACATTACGTTTCTATGTGTGTGTTCTTTTTTAATTTATCGATTATGAGATTTAAGGGGCTATTAATAATTACTCGATAATTCGAAATGACATTGATTAATTAATTTATTATAATATTAGTTGCTCGATGCTCTATACGATTGAAATTATAATTCGCATGGAGATGTAAGGGAATAACGACGTTAAGATATTGTTAAATACATTATTAAAACGCTCGATTTCACTTTTATTAATCATTTCATAAGTTTTTATTTATCCTCTAATAAATAGTTCAATTATAATTTTAATAAAAGAAATTATAAAGGAGAAACGACATGGTAAAATAAAATTATTTTCATTACGACAAGAACATTGAGAGTACTTGATATAGGAAAAAGTATAATTTTAAACATTTTTCTCATTCTTGTATCACCAATGTAAAAATAAGTAGTAAAAGCAAAAATTCCAAAATATAATGAAAAAATTAGTACAAGGGATTTATGATTATCAACATTATTAAACCGTGCATCCTTTACTTAACTTGTTATTAAAAAACATTTCTTACTTTTTATTTTATTTTATATTATATTATATTTATAAATTACATTTCATTTCTTCCGCTAATAATATTAATGAGCTACTTAATTGAATTTAAAGGCACAATTATCAAGTATTACCATTCATTAATAATATTTAACATGCTTATTTATTCTTTTTAAATAATATTAAAACCAGATATAAAATAGAAAAATCATTATTGTATAAACTAATTTATTCTACTATTGAATTGTAAAATTGTGCATAATGTAGTATTGTTTATAATGTACATTTTCATTGGAATTAATTGTTACAAACAAGCTATTTATGGGCTGTATAAATCATTGAAATAGAGAATTTGTGAATTATCAAATCGTCAATTTTCCTTATGTCATCGAGCAATTAATTTGCTAGAAAATTTCGTCAAATTCATTTCAACAAATATACAGCTTATTAATGAATTGATAAATAATTATGAAAAATTATAACTATAAAATTGGAATTCAAAATATGGAATTTTCAATTAGAATAAAAATTTTAATGATTCGCTATAAAAATTTGTAACCAATATTTACCTCGAAAATTTTACTTAACCGTTTAACCTAACAATGTTAGAGAGATATAAATTTTACATAATCTCAGTTATATATCATGTTAAGGTACAATTGTGATGAAAAAAAAGAAGATTTTTTAAATATATAGATAATATCGAAATTTTGAAATATTATAGAATTTATAAGCTTCCCATTTTTCATTGCCAAATAAGTAATTGTTTAAACATTTAATGTCTCGATAACGGTATTACATATGGGATACATTAAACGATTTAGCACTCGACCAATTTTTTACAAAAAAATTTTCCACACGGTGCAATATTATATTTCCCGAAATAAGAATTACATTTTAAAGAAATTTTAAATTTGTAAGATTGGAGCAAAGTAGGTGCAATTAATTGAAATTTATCGCAATGCAAATCCTAATATTAGATTTCAAAATTCAAATGAAATTTTTTAAAACGACGAAGGAAGCTGAATTTATTGTATTACTTAATGTGAACATCAAAGCACGCGAATACAATGAAATTAAACTAATGATGCACACGGGGTTAAATGCGATTACACGCTACGAACAGGAAAATATCTCTGTAATTAGAAACTCGTGAAGCATTAAATTGAAAATTTGAACGATTTCGAGAAGCATTACAGTCGATATCGATGAAATTCTCTGTTACGGCCAGCTTTGCGTGTGGACGGCTAGACTTTAACTGATTTATTGTTGGCAAAATTTTGCGACTATACAACGGCCATCATCATGAACCGCAACTGCTACCGAACTATTTAACGAGTGGATTAAATTTTAGATGGTTAATTTTTGGTTCCTCTGACGTAAAGCCGTCAAAATTTATTCTACAATTTAGTTATTTATAAATTTTCACGATACTCGATTAGTCTTGTCGTATGAATTGTCTTCTTCTTTTTTTTTTTTTTTTTTTTTTTTTTTTTTTTTTTTTATAGTTTTATCTAACGCGAATGCGATATTTTAAATATATGTAAATCCATAAGAGCAGCATAAATCAAGAACACATAATATTTTTCTTCAGTAAAAATAATGATATAATAATTAAGAATGAAAAGTTAGATGATTAATTTTTTTTAATTTTCTTGAAGTATGCTAAGGGGCCACAATACAATGGCCACTAATGGTAAAACTAAGTAAAGCATCTCGTGAATTATGAGATTAGAGTGTAACGAACACAGCTTGAGGAACTCTATTTTATACGATATTTTTATTTTAATTTTGAAACACGTCAAAATTTTATTAGAAACGTATTACATTTGAATTCGGATGATTAACCGGAGTCTCGTCAACGAGTTTGCGTGCTTGCGAAAACAGGTAAAGCTCATCTACATAAAATTTGGATGCCTCATTACTTCAAATATTCATTTATTTCTAATACGTATTTTTATCAAATAAATACGCTTGATATAAATATACGTGCATTTCTATTATAATTGATACTGTTTGGCAATATAATATTATTACTCTCTAGCAACGAATTAACACTTGTCACACATGGACGCGTAATTATTTCATATCGCTTATCATATAAAATACAAACATCTTTCATTACACTTTAATTTATGTGGTATTAATATTGATTGGCGTTAATCAAATTATTAATGGAAAATCTACAATTTTCACTACACTAGTAATATTACAAAAATCAAATTAAATAGCCGATAATTTGACCATGGACCAAGTAATTGCGCTATATGCAATTTATTATTGGCACGCGAAACAAAATAATTACTAATAAAATCGATTGATATTCGCTTACATTGTGCCAAATCAATAATAAAAGTCTTGTAATATCAGAATGCCGAATGATACATTCGGGCCAATACCACTGACATTCTAATCACTTCCATATCCTAAACAAACTCAACATTCGCTTCTGTTAAATATTATAATTTTATTAACCGTAGGAATAAATTATGGCCAATGCCTAAATGGCACCTAATAGAATAAAAAGCACAATTGACGAATCGAGCAAATATTTATAACGACGTAATAGAAAATTCGCCAATTAATTGAAGGAAGCTTAAACCGATGGCGCGCAGCATGAAAGTTCAAGGCTTCAATCTAATTATAATTAGAAAATCATCCTCTCCTGCGAAACTTGAGTCAAGAGGAATTCTCATTAAAGACTTTACCAGAAGCTGTTTCTTTAATTACCCACGAATCGTCAAATATTACCAACGAGAAACCTACCGTCGACCATCAGAAAAAGGAGCGTGGAACGGTGATGGAACATATTAACCAGTGATACGAGCATATTTACCGGCAGGCGAGGTGGCCGAGATCGACTGTCCCGTGGTGCCTTGCGGCTGTCCGCTAGACTGACCGGAGGAGCTCGCGCTGCCGAGCTTCCGCAGCTGCTTCTTGTGCTTCATCCGCCGGTTCTGGAACCACGTCTTCACCTGCGTCTCGGAGAGATGGAGAGCCGCGGCGAGCTCGACTCGCTCCGGAGTGCTGAGGTAGCGCTGGGCCTCGAATCTCGCCTCCAGGCCCGCCAGCTGCTGGTCGCTGAACACCTGCCGAACGATACACTCTCGGTAAAGCTACCCTTGTCCCGTACTAGGTAGAGTAGGAAGGCCGAGGGTGCCCAACGTAAGCCCCCAAAAGCCCTGACGACGATTGTGCGCGTTGGAAGGAGCCTCCTCGACGCGACGTCGTAAGTCCTTCCGTGCATTTGCGAAAGGGATGACGGCGTTCGAGATGCGCGATCCTCCCTCTTGTCAATATTTAATAGGCGCGGCCTCGCGGACACTAAGTAAGTAAGGTGTGACACTCACGGTTCTGGCTTTCCGTCGTCGGCAGTGCTTGAGTGCGGCGAGCTCGCCGACGCCGGGCACGACGCCGACGCCCATTCCGGCGCCGCCGAACAGCGGTCCGAGGAAGAAGGCCGCGGCCGCGGGTGGCGCCGTCGGATAGCCCGGCAGGAGGCTGCTGATGGCGAACTGCTGGTACTGCTGTCGAGAACAAGAAACGGAGGCACGGGTGCCTTATCAGTCCGGTCGCGCCACTTTTCCCCGGCCTTCCCTCATCCGACACTCAAGGACACTCCTTCAGCCAGTTCGGATCTTCGACTCTGAGCAAGTGTGCATTGAAGCTTTCGCCGCTATTGTCGTCTTAAGGACCACCAGATAGAATTATCGCGGTCAATTTAGGATGTCGGGCATTATTAAGTATTTTCTGTCAGCCACTCAATTCGATATGATGCATAGGCGGAGGCGAGGATGCCGTGACTTTGGTACGAGAGCCTTGATGCGTCATCGACCGTTAATTCATTATGTCGAGATAAATGTTAACTTTTTTCATTGTATATCGCATGGTTTACACTTTGGAAGTCATTTATTTGTTTAATGATTAAATGGACTGAAACAAGCAATGATTTCGGCCTGTTTTCCAACCAAATTCCAAATATTCTAAAGAGTTTTTTTTTTTTCTTCTTAATATTACATTCAGGCGTCGGATCAATTCGAATAGATAAATTAAACGATAAATTTTACAGAGTAACGCTTATCATTATGAGGAATTATAATGGAAATTCTTATTAGCTCATATCATAATTTGACATTAATCGTTAATTAAGAAGAAGCGTTAGCATTCAGGAGTTAATTTTACAATTCCAAGAAATGTGAAAAATTTGCAGAGATTTTGTTTTTAATAGACTTATTTTAATTTATTTATCTAGCAAACAATTCATTTTAAATATTTTATTCCAACGATCCTTGGCATTTTCGGCAGATTTATAATTTTCTTTCCAAATATAAATTTCTTAGTAACATTGTCGGGAGGTAGGCACAAACTAACCACTCTAATTACCTTAATACTAATATTAATTATTATGAATAATTGGTACAATTTTTTTATTATGAATCTCATTTGGAATGAGAAGAGTAAAAATTCTTATTTATGCATCATCCATGTATTTTAATTAACACCTTTACAATAACGTAATATGGCCGATTGAACTTTCAAGTTATTTTAATCAATTTAATTCAGGATAAAGTATTTACTTGTTTAATGAGAGACAACAATAGTCAATCGTAATGAATGCGTTGATTTCTATTTGAAAATTGAACGCGCGGATGAACGGGAAATATTATAGCGCGTTACTCTTAGAAATTTGTTATCAAATAGATTTCGTATAGGCTCGTAAATTCAGCTGCACGCGATTATTTATTGCTTCGAAATTCATTGACCGAGACATCTCAATAGGTGTATTATAAAACAATCGAAAAAAATCTATTCCTTGGAAATGTTAAATGAAGGAAATAAGACTTTTTCCGAATAGAATTGAAGAGTTATTTATTAATGAAATGAGAATCGAGATGAAATTGAATTGAAAGGTCCATGGAGCAACCGTAAGGCAACGAAGCATCGATGGTAATAAATTCGCCTAGCCAAGTGAAATTTTACCGTATGCTGTTGTTGTTGCTGTTGCTGTTGTTGCTGACTCGTTTGTTGCTGCTGCTGACTCGCCTGCTGCTGTTGATGATGATGATGATGTTGTTGTTGCTGCTGCTGTTGTTGTTGCTGCTGTTGCTGTTGCTGGCTCGCCTGCTGCTGCTGCTGCTGCTGCTGCTGCTGCTGCTGCTGCTGCTGCTGCTGCTGCTGCTGCTGCTGCTGCTGCTGCTGCTGCTGCTGCTGCTGCTGCTGCTGCTGCTGCTGCTGCTGCTGCTGCTGCTGCTGCTGCTGCTGCGGCTGTTGATGGTGATGGTGGTGGTGGTGATGCTGTTGCTGATGCTGGTGTTGCTGATGTCCCTGGGAATTGACGAGAGCATGATGATGGTTCGAGTGGTGATGGTGAAGCGAGTGGCTGTTGTGCTGGGAGTGGACGGCTGTGGCCGCAGCGGCGGCGGCGGCGGCGGCGGCTACGCTGCCCCTGCTCAGGATATCCTCGATAAGGAATGACGTGCGGCTGGCGGAGCTCGCGTTCTGTTGTTGCTGCTGCTGGGCCTGCTGTTGCTGGCACGTCGACTGCATGTCATCCGCTTCGAGGCACGAGAGTTGACGCAGCCGTTGGGCTGGGATTAATGACCGAGCGGCTGTCCGAAGCCTCGAGCCTCCTTTACGGAATTTTTAGTCGAATTCTCGACGCCTTTCTATCCCGTTATACGAGCTTTTCATGGCCCAGCCATGAGCTTAATTTTCACAGGAAGAGCTTACAGTCTTTAATGATCTTCTATCACTGTCGAGTAATCAGTCGATAGAATCCATCGTCACATTTTATCTTGATAGAAATAATTGGATAACTTTTTACTTTTACTTTTGGTAATCCGATGTAATGTTTCGCGAGAGGACGCGAATTTATAATAGTTATGAAAATTTATTAACGATATTAAGCTTCTCGCTTTGTCGAATGAATGGTTTTAAACGCGGATGTGAGAAGCACGAGTGAGACATCTTATTCGAAGATGTAGCTCATGTAATTAATCGTTCGTTTGTATTTAAAAATTTCTACTATTATTAAGTTATGGATTTCAGAAACGACAATAACCGTGTCCATTGATAATAATATTGGCTCAGGCAATAATAAACTTTAGAAAGCCTATGAAATTTATGAGGAAGAAGAATAAAACAACGGCCTTATAAAGCAACGGCAATGTTAAAATAAAAAAGTAAATTTATTAAAACTCGTTGCAAATAATATAGGAAAATGAAAATATTTCGATCCGTCTAAGAATTTAAATATGCGTATACAACAAATGCATCGAGCCTCTGACGATAGTTACACATAAACTTCTGGGCTTTTACGTAATTACCTATCATAAATGCCAATTGATTTATTCTTGAATATTATAACTATGAGACCTTACAAGCATCCGGCTTATAAGACGGACTTTCGCATCACTGAATTTACATATAAATTTAATCCATTTGACTTAGGATTGTCGCACTGTTCTCAAGTGGCCGCCTCCACCGCATAACGTTAAAGTAAAAATGCACGACATAACCTGAAAACGTACGCGAAAGCTCTTGCCCAGCAATTTACCAAATTTAAAGCCAATGATCGAACGTCGTGCAACATCATCGTTCATTCACGTGGCAAATCACCTTGTGCAATCGCGTACTCGCGTCGACGATCCAGCAGCACTCCGTGATGAAACTGTCGTCGTTGAGCGACGTGTCTGCGCGGTCCCCGTCACAAAACTTCATGCCGACGAACTTTGCTAGACTCGCACCAGCCTCGCATCCATCAATTCAACACCGCAATTCAAAACCTCAATTCACCGCGCAAACGGACCGCGTAGGTGCACCGGAGCCAAAGCCACGACGACGTCGACACTCGCCCGCGCCATATCCATCCCTTACGAGCGCGCGCCACCAAATGACGCAAGAGCCGTGTGACGAGCCCGATCCCGGTCCATGCATCCCCTTCTCAGGTCGGTCTCGTCAGCCTCCCCGGACGTAAACGCCCATCCGTTCGGGTAAAGTCGAGGGCCTTGGGGCGCCTCGGGGTCTTGGGCCGCGCGTCCGCCCGGAGCTCACGTGCGTTCTACCCGCGGCGGCCTCTTGTCCGTGAACTCGGACGGGGTGGTGAAGCCCGACGCCGATTGGCCCGTGGGGAGATGCCGGGGGCGGCGCCGGCCCCGATCGCCGGGGGCGGAGCGTCCGCCCGTCGCCATGGGCACGCGCTTAGCGTTGACGTGGCAGCGCCAACGAGAGGTTAAGTCAGGTGGACCGATAAACGCGCCCGGGTGCGCGACTGTGACTGAGGGAGTGAGCGAGCGCGAGTGTGAGCGGAGGGTAGGTAATGCGGCCGATTCGGGGAAAACTGTTTTCCTGGCGGTTCTTGATTAAGGTTAGTTGGTTGCTTTGGACGGTAACTGGGCGGGAGGACGAGAGCCTTTCGTGCTGACATTTTTTTCAGAGACGCGGGATAATTTTAAAGTCGTCCATCCATCGATGCCATCTTCGTCCGACCGGTGGCCACATTTTCATGGCCCTCGCTACTCTCTTAATGACCGCCAATGCTGTATTTTTATCACTCCCGGCAACTTTTGCCGGCTGCTTTTTATTATCGCATACGCTAAGTGACACCATTATCCTGACTTTAAAACGAGGCAAAATTGAGATTCTCTTACCGACGCGATTTTATAATACGAATACATTGCGGCAGAAATTCTGTAAAAATCAAAAGGCTTTCACCGCCCGCGCCAGTGACATTTGCATTTTACTTATTATCTAAATCTATCGTTTTTCAAACTTTGGATAAAAAACAGCAATATGCATAACACGAACAATTTATTAGTTAATATTGCGCGCATTCAAAATGCTCTATATTAATGAAAATAATTAAAATATTAAGGACAATAAAGTCCACTATTTATTTTTATCCATTGCTAATTGACTCTGAATTATATAATACAGAAATTTCGGCTGTAATTTTCAATATGAAAAAAGTCTCGTAATTATTTTCATCGTAACGTTTAAAGGAATGTTAATATAATAACGTGTAAATAGAAAAAATTATTTGTGAAATACCAGAAAAATATGTGCCCTGGATAATTCATTAAAACTCTAGCTTGAATTTATATTTCATTCCAGTAATAAAAGCGCGATTAAAATGATGTGTATTTTAATTAAATTTTATAATATTTATAACAATAATTATTATTATAACAATGATAATAATGATAATAATGATAATAATGATAATGATAAATTGACTTGAAAACGCGAAGTTGCGATAAAATACACGTTGATTATAATAAAATTTCTTTAAATGAAAGTATTGCATTCGTATTGATAAATTCTTTTAAGCATTCGTTAACAGAGGGACGTTGAAAAACTGTATTAAAAAAAAAAAAAAAAAAAAAATAATAAAATTCCTATTCGAAGAGTGATTGACCGAATATTTTAATCCAATATTGTACGTCTATAAATAAGTATAAAAAATATATTGAACTATCGGCCAATTATTCTTGCTACGTTTTATTCCGCTAATAAATGAAATGTTTTGTCAATATATTTGAGGTAACATATATTTAATGAAAGTTTATTTAACTTTATTTCATAATTGTCGACATCCGTTCTTATAATAAAATACACTTAACTATTTCTCGTTTTAATCACACATTTTTTCGATATGCTGTAAAATTCGGGATAGCATTAAATTTATGCAGAAAATATAAAATAATAACGAATCAATCAATGTTCTGCAATTTATTTTCTATATAAATTGTATTTAAACAATTTTTTAATCCTACAACTCCATATGATTAATGAAAAATATCTTTAATTATCTACTATCTTTTTGTCATACTTTACAATAGCATTGATACAAATATTCGGAAAAATTGTTATTTCACTTAACACAATGTAAAGTCACGATAAATAATTGTGTATTTAAATTAATGAATGTTACAATAAAATTATTGTAGAAAAATTATGCAAATCTGTGTGCGTTTACATATTATACGGATATATTAATTTAAAAAATTTATTCAATTTTTTTTCATACCCACAGCCATCAAATTCCCAAAAATTAGACCACTATTTTTATATTTATTCTGATATTGTAAAAATGTTTTTACTAAATGTGTCAAATTCTACATATTTTATATCAAAATTTCCCATCTATTACTTATAACATGATTATTCGTACATTATTATAATTATTAATAATTCATTATTAATTATTTTTATTATTATTATATTTATACATATATAAATATATATAATTATAATTAATTATTAATAATTCATAATGAAAATAATTTTTAAAGTTGACATTACGATTAGTGAAAATTATAAGATTCTCTTTGTTTTTTAAACTAGAATGAACATTGTGTTAACGAGGTGGAAATGCCACGCTATGTGCATTCATAAATCTAGTTAAATCAGTATTAAGATCATTTGAATGAATTAATCAATACGATAACATATTAGGATTTATGCTTGCTATTACCACACAATTGTTACAAAAATCATAGTTTTATGACTCGTCGTCGCTCAAACATATCTAAATAAATACTCGATAAGTATTGAAAGTTGAAGGGACTTGAACGATCGGATCTAGCGATATCATCCTTTGGGAGATTGATCCTAAAGTCGCTTGTACACAACGTCAGCCATGGAAGCTTCCGTAACTATTATACGGGTGAACTCGGGCAACCGGAGCGAGGAATTAGGGCTGCTACACGATCATTAAATAAATTAACGTCAAGACTAATTACGTTACGGTAGGTCATCACCGCAATCTAGGAAGCCTCCGATCCCTTGTTACGTACAACTAACTAAGAGGATTACAAAGTCTTCGCGTATAGACAGAAGATAGATGATATTTACTCGTCTGAAAAGGAAACCCAGTGAAAATTTGTGTATTACAAGTTAAAAAGTTGTGAGAAAAGTTTTTTTTTTATAAATGATTGCTTAAATTACCGGCAATCGTTATATTCGACATCACGATGCTGCTTTTTGTGCGCAATTACACTGTACAATCATAATCGATACTCAATACCTTAATAATGTCGTTAAAAGTACCCACTTAGGACAAATATGGAAGACTGCCAGTTTACAATATATATATATATATATATATATAACAGACAATACAAGTCTTTTGAAAGTACTCGATTAGATTGACGGTAAACAGTGGTAAACAGTGGTAAACAGTGGTAAACAGTGGTAAACAGTGATAAACAGTGGTAAACAGTGGTATATAGTGGTATATAGTGGTATACAGTGGTAAACAGTGGTATATAGTGGTATACAGTGGTAGTATCATGCGACAGTAACTGAAATGCATGGATAGAGCTGCCATCTCTGTGAGTAACTGGGAACATCTACAATATCTCCAAATAATTTCAATTATTGGTATTTGAATATAATTATTTGTCGTACTTTGTTTAAACTGGTAATCTAATTAAAGTGTATCGTTTATTTGTTTAAGCGTAAGCTTAACAAAAGCCGATTCAGAAATGTATAAAATATTAACAACAATACTAACAAAGTATTATCTCACTGGGATGTAATCTTGATTTTTCTAATAAATAAATAGGCATAGATTATAAAAATTTAAATTGATTCAAATAAATAAAATGACAGGTTATAGATATTCAAAAACTAATTTATAAGTGGACTAAATAGAGAAATTACTTTAAATGATTGAATAATACTGTCATTATAAATTATAGATTCGAAATTATAATAATATTATAAAGACTATAATTTCAATTGTTATGTCATGAAAGAAAACATTAAATTTTCATAGTAGTTGAATAGATAAAATTGTTTAACAGTAAATATTGATAACATCTAAGCGGATTGTTTTATGTGAATATAAAATAGCGTAAAAATAAATAACTTAATACAAAATAAATACCCAAGGAAGATATATTTAAAATTATTTTTTATAAATCCAATTTTTACATGTCAAGGACAAAATTTATCTTGTGTTTTCATTTTTTTTTTTTTTTTTTTTTTTTTTTTTTTTTTTTTTAATATTGAAATAACCTTCATACATAAGCTTACTTCTGTTATTAAATATTTTATATTAAATCTAGCATTACAAATGCTATATTTAGAATTATATAATTAAAGACACCAACGAACGAAATAATATATTGTTGAATTTCTTTTAATTAATTTTACTACGAGAATATATTTAATCTAATATCTAAAAATAATTAATATTCATGATTATAATGTAGTTGAGTGACCATTATATATTTGTCATTATTACCTTATCTTGAAATCATTACATAAAAGTTTGGATAGATTTTTAATAAAACATTATCATTTCGTTTGTTAGAAGATAGAAATAAAATGAAATTAAACACATATTATAAAATTAAAAATATTTATTTAATTAATATTTATGTTGTGGTAATTGTTTCACATGAAAATATATGGATATAAATAATAAAGTATATGAGTTATATAAATAAATTTTTCCGAAAGCTATTGTATTCATTAATTTAGCACAACTACATAAGATTAACTACATAATATTATTCTTCGTCATAATATTTATATTCTAATTTTATGACATGGTTACACAAAAATTTTGTTTACTTTTGTCAATCTCATAGTACAATATATCTCATATACTCAGAATTCCAATAATTTTATTGTACCATTGCTTCATTTTCTCCCACTCCCTTAATTTTCAACTACATCTATCGTCATTGATCTTAATTTTTTTTATAATTGTATACTTTGATAATGAATGTTATATTAATAAAGGAAAAATAATTTAACAGAAATTTAAGTGTTGCTTCCTTGCGTCTAATAGCTTCAATAAATTAGAAATTATAAATATCTATCATCCTTTTTATTTTACGAATGTTTTAAAAATATATTATTGTTGTAAAAATATAGTTTACAAAGAAAGTCGATTATAAGTTGTAATAAGCCGCTTTTTAACAATTCTACTAAGATTCTGTCACTAGTTTTTCAAGTAAATTTCTTCGGTCATCAAATTTTATATTACAGAATGCTTACGACGAGTCCCAAGCACTGTTCTAACTTCTAAGTTCAATGTCATTAGGACTTAGTTCAAATACTCTCAATAAATAAAAAATATGTAAATAATTAAAAATGAAAAATATAATGTAAAATATAATACAGCATTGACTGAATGATTTCAAAAGTTTTCATATCTACTATTTTCCAGTTAACTGCAGGTAGACAATAAATAATATCAAATATATTAAATTTCATATACTGTATAAAATATAAATAAAACTTACTTATGACGGTAATATTAAATAAACAATTCCTACATCGATTTTAATTAATGAAAGCAATGAACAAGTTCGTCCGAATTTATGAAATGAATTAATATCTGTTGTTGTATTTCAAATATACCGCTGCGTCCGCTTTCAATTTGTTCTATTTTAAATTTATTTTGATGTTGTTACGTAATATTTTCGTTAAATTTTTAGAATAATAAAATTAATTTTATTTACATATTATACTGTTCTGTAAAAATGTTATAATATGAAAGCGTCAGTTTCACTTAGTTTTGAGCAGTTACTTAATTGTGATTTATCATATATTAACGGCTTTAATTACTAGCATTTATATTAAAATTTTTTCATTGTTAACAAATTTAATTTGTAAAAAAAGGTGGTTAATATAAAAAAATGAAAAAACATTTCTGTTAATCTTAACTGTATTACAAGAAGTAGCATACAATAATATAAATTCTATAAATACCTTCTATAAATTACCTTCTGGCTATAGTTACAATTTACTATTTAACATCAGGAACAGTAATTATTCACGAAAATTATAACTAAAAAATTCTAATTATTAATATGATTATTAATTTGAACGTCTCGAAAGATAATTTATATTACCCTAATGAAACATTAACATCATTCAGATTAAACAAAAATTTAAAGAAGAGAAAAATGAACTCTTATTTAAAAACCTTATGAAATATCTGACATACGGTAACTAACAATTTTAATGACAGAAAGTAAATGAATCACAGAACTAAATCGGACTAAATACTAATTACGATTATTAATTGTAAATATGATGTCACTTATACAAATTGTTAGCTTTAGATAATCGATATTTATTCTTCATTGATTACTAACTCAAGTTTTAGTAAATACGTAAGTAAATAAATAAAAAAAACTCAAACTTCTGGATAGGAACTTATATAGGAAACAGTCATATCGAAAGACTTGTAATAAATAAAATTTTATAAAACAGAAGGAGATATTTATGTACTGAACTTATACATATATATATATATATATATATATATATATATATATATATATTTTTAAACTAAATATATATCTTTGAATATTAGAAATTAAGAATTTATTAGGATTAGAATAAAATTATACATTTTTAATTAATTGTAAATGTAATTAAAATTGATTGTTTTATTTAAACGAAATTTAAATAATTCTTAAAACATTGTTGTAAAATATGGGTTAATCTTATTCTGTAATGGAAATGAATAATTTTAATGAGACTTTTGGTTTGTACTTTGTCAATTGGGAATTAAAAAATTTTTTTATTAAAATTCTTATATACATAAGGTTGAATCCTTATTAATAATGAAATGTAAAATATTAAAAATGGCATTGAAACAAATTAGTTGGACTTCGGCAATTATAGACAATTCTTGTACATTTAAATATCAAATGAATTTATAAAATTATGAAATTGATGATGGAGAATTAAAATGCATTTCCGAACAGACTTTTGGAATATCGCAATATCGAGGCAATTTCAGTTTAACTAATTATCAATACCTACGTCATCTACCACTTAAAAGCTATCGAATTATCTCGTACAATGAATATTTAACCGCTAAACTCTTAAATATAAATTTTCGATGGGACGAGAAGTTGAGGCAATCGGGCTCACGTATCCTCGTTGTCGTAAGGTGAAGTGCGTTTGTAAAAGGCGCGCGAAAAAGTGGCCGGTCCTTGGGGACCGCAAAAGATAAATCCTCGTCTCCAAAGGACGAAGATGAGAAGGAGCAGGGGCAGGGCCAAAAGGAGACCCACGAGGATGCCGAGGAGGATAGCGGCGTCGCGCTCGGGTCTTGCCCCATACGCGTCCAGGCAGCGAAGTTTTCGACTCCCTAATGAAGCCAAGCTTCTACCTGCAAGCTCAGGCGGCCCCGAACATCGGAGCTTACCAATTTCCTCTCCCATCAACCTCTTTCCATGGTTTGACAATAGGGTGCCGATCTGAAAGCATCAATGTCCAAAGTCACATGGATTCCAATGCTTTGGAAATCTGTGCTGGTGGGTGTGGGGGAGAGGAAGAGAAAGCTTAAGTTCTTCATTATCTGATTGCGTAAGGCCTAACAATCGAGATTTCTTGTAACTTGCTCAACTTTAGAGCAAGAATAAATGTTAGATTTTTTTTTTAATTAGAGACGCATCTAGGAAAGCTAAAATTAACCTGCACTGTCATAATTCATAGTCTACAACATTATCTCTATTATAATTATAGTAAGACATTCGCCATCAAAATTGAAATTAAATGAAAATTTTAGAAAAATATTCATATGTAAATTACATGAATCATGTTTCATTTATTTTTACATTAAAGCTACGTCAAATGAAAATTCCTTTTTCATTAAAAAATTTTAATTAAAAAAATTTCTACATATGAATTTCTAGCTCAACTTCACTTATGAATCGACATCTTTATTAGCTTATGCATTTAAAAATTTCATTTAACTTACGAGATATTGATTATCGCAATCACAGTTCCAATTGTTGCTCATAATATGCAATTCTTGCAGTTTGTCCCATCGAGCGACTAAAGTAGCTGATAAATAATGAAGTGCATTATTGGATATATTGAGCACCTTTAATGGTGGCCACGTCGCTCCACCTCCTTTCCCCTGCGTTTTATTATATTTTTAATTTACGTAATTATAGCGCAAATTATTTTGAAACATATTCATACATTCTTATGAGAATTAGTGCATGCTCAATCATTCGCAATTTATAATTATACGATAATATCAAAGATCTTGTTTGACAAATGTTTCTTTTATTTTTTATTCAAAATAATTTATAATAAAAGATAAGGGTAAGATATTATAATCAATAATTACAATAAAAAATTGAATTTCTTCGTTAATTTGTATTTATAATAGCTTTCTTCTTATAAAAGTATTACATAGTTCTTTAAGTATTTAATAATTTAATTGAATAATAGATTTTAAAATAATTATTTATCAAGAAATATGTGACTCAATGTGAAAAGAGCACAGAATGTTTATAAAAAATATATCTATAAAAATGAATGTCGTCAGAAATTTTAAAGAAAATAATTAAATATATAGTCATTTATTTACATTTGTAATTTACTTATTTCAAATATTCTATAAAACATAACTATGTAATGATAAGAATCGCTATAATAAAAACTGCTCAAACTGATATTCTATAATTATGATTAAATATGAAGTTCTTTGATAATTAAAAATTCATTTAAATAATCACAAGTCGTTGAGAATTTTTTTTTAGCTATATTACTAAACAAAAAAATACCTAATCAGTTTCTATTTTCATAATATACTATTGATGTAATATTTAAAAAATTTTCAATCAATAAATATTCATTTATTTATAATAACTTTGCTACACATCTGTCGTCTAATCAAACAATTACCAAATTTTTTTGTAAATTGTTGCTGTAATTTTCCGTTAACTTTTTTTTACAAACTATTCTATATAAGTATTATATAATATAGAATTTGTAAATAAAAAAATCAAAAAGTAAAATAACAAATAATAACAAATTTTTTTAAATCAAGACATTATGAACAGATGAATGTACATGAATAATTATTGCGAATTCGCATTATATTTGATATGCTACAATTATTCCAATATAAACGTGTATTAAATATTAAATAATAATTCTAAATCGACTTAAGGAATAAAATATACATATGTATAATTTGAAGAAAAAAAATTTATATTTATCATACTTTTATTTAATAGAGGTTAATTTAATTTTCTGAAAATATCCTAATATAAAAACAGATTGACAACGTGTATTAAGGTTTTTTTTGAATTTGATTAACAAAATTTGATAGATCATAACAAAGACTTAATAAAGTAGAAATTATAAAACACTAGTATTTCCTAATTATATACAAATGTTATAATTTACGTAAACCTTAACGATGTATAATTATACTAACCTCTTTGGCGAGAGCATCATCGTTAATTTCCGATAATAATGTACAATTTTCAATCTTTAGAGTTTCCAGACCTTCTAAACTTGAAAGTGCACCTTTGCCAATTAGCAATAATTTTGGCATCTTACACATACTTAACATCCGTACATTTAATAATGGTGGAAATCCGTTATTATCGTTTAAAAACTCAATTGGATTTCCATCTAAAATAAGAATTTCTACAGATTTGGATTCCTGCAGTGCATCGGGTAAATTTGAAAATTCATTCCAGCTGAGATCTAATTTTTTTAAAAATCTGAAAATAATTTCATCTGGTTTTATAAGATAATTTACTTTATATTTCAGAATTTCTTGTATAATTATATGTTTTTTTTTTATTATTAAAAATACAATTATTAATCTTTAATTACTCTGCTTATAATGTGAATTTCTTTTATTGATTCGTAAATTACAAAAGGATTCATCAGTTAAAATTAGTTTAATATAACAATGATTGTGTCGATATAATTCTTAAATTATTTATTTGTAAGAAAACTGTGTCACTAAGTTTATCAAAATATTAATGCTATTTTTTTTATTATATAAAATAATTAGAGTTTACTGCTTATTTTTTCAAAGACACTAAAATCCGAAAATAGAACACCAAAATCATAAAATCTTAAACGCACTGTTAATAAGATCACATAATCATATTAATATAACACATTAATATCAATTTAGATAATAAATTCTAAGGCCACAAATAATTATAATTTGTTATTTTAATAAATGAAGGATATAATCTTGATGACACACAAGTTTCTGTTCTGTCAGATTTCTGTAGGCAAATACAAGTGATTAATTTTCTATAAATATTTTTATAAAATATTACATATATTAACATATAGGCTTATCAATATCTTTTATTTGCAGTGGTTTCTCGTAAATATATAATATAAAATCTTGGATTAAAAATAAAAGAAAAAAAAGATGATTTGTCTGGCAATAATATTTAAATAAAAGATATTACATATTCCTAATTGTTCTTAATTTCGGTTTCGTAAGGAAAAATAGTTACCTCAATGATTGGAATGACACTTTATCTAATTTTTTCAATTGACAATGACTCAAATCCAATTTCTCAAGATAGGGAATACTACTGATTGCAAGAATCGATGACTTATCGAGCTCTACAAACGGATTATCTGATAAAATTAGTGTTTTTAAGTATTGTACATGTTCAAAAAGATCGTGATTCAATGTATTAAATTTGTTTCCAGATAAATTTAATAGCTTCAATTTATCCAAAGGTTCATATGCTTCAGGTAGAAACTGCCCCTATTTATATGTATACGTATATATATATATATATATATATATATATATATATATATATATATATATATATATAAAATAATCGTATACATTTATAAGTTTTCAAGTCATAAAATTTGACATTAGAAACTCCCCCTATATATATGTATACGTATATATATATATATATATATATATATATATATATATATATATATATATATTTACAATAATCAATCATTTACTTAGTTTAATCATCTAAAATTAATAAGCAAAATTTTTAAATAATACAATTTCTTCAAGTGATCTTATACACAAGTTTTGAATTTACGGTTAATTGATTCAATTATAAAAATTGGATTGTATTATCAATTTAAATGTGGTATTTAAAATTTATAATTTTTTACTATTTTCTATCAGATCCAGATTAATTAATAATAGAAAATCTTAACAGAATAATATGATATTTTACAAATTTATTTTTAATCAGATATTAAATATTAATATCTACACGCATATACACCCCCCCACACACACACACACACACACACACGCGCGCGCGCGCGCGCGCGCACAGTTTTTTTGATAATAAAAAACTGATATTACAAAATCAATAAAATTAGCGGATGTATATGCAAACTATAAAATAAAATCTTACGACTAAATATTAATCGTATTGATAATATCTTAATAGTATTTAATTTATAATTATTATTTATATAATATATATTGGTGTAATACAAAACATTATAGTATACCTACAACTATTTATATATTCGTTCTTTATTGACAAATGTATTTCTCTTCTTTCTAATATTTCATTTAGTCAGTTCAACAGTTCAACATATAGATACGCGCGTTTCAATTCATACAATAAATTACTTTTATTCAAGGTACATGTATATAGATATAGATAAATACAAATAGAATCGGAAAATAGTAAAAAATAATTTCATCCAACAATCAACGTCTTAAAATAATAAGTATTACGAAATGTTAATTAAGAAACGATTAGATAATTAAACGATCGTAATAAGTAGATAGTGTAAAAGTAATAAGTGATTGAAAATAAATCAATTGTCTTACCTCCAGTGCGCCCGGCATAAAATTTTCATGAGTTAATAAATTTTCACTCAGATCTAATTCTGTTAAATTACTCAACATTTTAAAAGCCTTATTATCAATTGTTTTTATTTTATTGTTATAGAAAATCAGCTTATTAACAGTCAGATTAGGAAATGAATTTATATGTGTAATTCGGTTATTTTCGAAGGTAATCACTTTTATCGGCTGCTTTGGCCATTCATGATCGTTCAAATTATTATCAAGATTCCGGTTTGAGCAATCTATTTTATCAGCTACAAAATAAATATTATTATATTATTAATAGTATAATTACTCAATTATTATTCATTTGGAAAAGAGGTATTGTCAAAGGTTTTACAAAATATGGATTAGTAAGCCTTGGGATTACTTTATATAAGTATGTTGAATGGCGAAAGTAAATCATATTGATATATACACATTTGTACGCCGTTTACATACTTAATTCATTGTTTTAGTTTATTGTTTCAAATATATATTCGTAATATATAGAATATTAACACAATATATTATATTTTCAATTTTTATCTATAAATTTGATAAAATGCTAGCATTAAAAAAAAAAAAAACATTTTATATGTAATTTGCCCTGCTGGCGGTGTTTATGAGAAGTGAGATTATTTTCTTATAAAACGTTAACATTTTTATATATAAAATCTATGTTCTCTATCTCTCCATTTCTCTATCTTTGACAATTATACAAATATCTTAAAATAATGAAATAATAATGATAATAATTTAGAGGTTTTATAACATAAGTTTCAGGGTAAAATTGGAGAAATCGAAATATTTTCAAACCATTATGAAAAAGTTGAACTTATGAATTTGACCTTATTGAGCTAGAAATTTCGTCGCGCCTTAATTTCGAAATGAAATTGCCTTGATTAATAGTTTCATCGATTAGTTACTTATAAATCACTACTTATCCTAATACAATCCGAAGCATGCTGTATCACTTTAAAAAGCATATTCATTCACGGTGGTGTATGAGACTCCGCCCGTCGCTTCCAATCCTACGTTCGCTTCACTCTGATATTCGATTGGCTCGCTTCTCACTGGCAAGCAAATTTCCGCACGCTCTAGCTTACCTGTACACTCGCAAACATCGCACACTTTTGACACAACATTAACTGGGCCACTTGTCTTGGATATGCTGATCGTCGTAGTGTCCAGGCCCAACGCCGGAATGAGGACGCACGCGATGATGAGAGGAAGTTGACGCGGCGTCATGGCACTTCAACTTTCTTCGTACAACGAGCATTAAAGGCTGAGGCGAGAAAAAGCGTATTGTAAAACGTACGTTATCAGCAATTTGATAAGGTGTACCGATAAGATAGAGATCAGTGCGTCTGAGTGTGTGAGCGACGTCGCAACTTTTTCCGTTACTCATCGTAGAAGACGAGTTCGCAGACGAATGATGAACTATGGTAAAACTCTCTGACGAAACTAATAGTAACGAAACTATATGGATATTTCGTGCTTCTGGCTTGAGAAAATATTTGTTTATATAACGTCTGTAATTCAAATAGTTATACATTGATAGTAAAATGTATTCGAATGTCTGATATGATATTTTTTAATGAACGTTACAATTGTGAAATGAGGCTGATTTCATAAATCATATAATATACACTAAGTCACAATGATACATAAACATTATACAATTAAAATGTTTATGAATTAATTTTGTTAAAGTTTTTAATGAAATACATATTATCCTTACCTTATATGGAAGAAAAGTTTGTTTTTTAATGAAAATGTATTGTTATAGAAGCATTCCTAGATTATGACCGATATAATATTATACAATTAACGCAAACACTGAAAATTTATAAAAAATGTATATACATATACAATTGAAAAAAGTGATTAACTTGAAGAGAAGTAAAATATACAAAGACCCAATATTAGTCGTTTGTCGAAGAGAAATTTGATTCTAAAATAATTATAACTAACGGCTTTTCATCTTATCATAATATCCCCCGATTATTCAAATTTCCTTACACATTAATTCTTATCATATATATATATATATATATATATATATATATTATATGTAAAATTTATTTAATCTTCAATTTCAGATATTAATACAATTTTTCTTAAAAGAAAACTAGAAAACTAATAGGGAAAAAATTTTGATTCTAGTGAATTCATTTAAATCAAGTCTAAACAAAAGGGCTCCAGATTTTTAAATTGAACTATATTTATAATATATATATATATATATATATATAGGAAGATGATAAGAATTAATGTGTAAGGAAAGAGAGAGAGAGAGAAGAGAGAGAGAGAGGGAGAGAGAGAGAGAGAGAGAGAGAGAGAGAGAGAGAGAGAGAGAGAGAATAGGCACGAACGAACTTTAACAGAAAAATTTTCTGTATTATAATATATTAAATGTATTTATTAAATTAATTACAATCATTATGTTACATTCAAATACGAATATCTGAATTTTCTTGAACGAAATTCACAACCCAATCATATTTAATTACAGTAAAAATAGTATCACTCTTTCAATTTAGAAAAATACGAATAATAATCAAAATATCATTTAATTAATGATATTTTAGATTGAAACGAGAATAATATTTAATATGAAATAATTTTATTTAAGACGAATTGACGGAGCTTTTAAATCCTTTTTAAAAACCAAGCTCATGCTTATATTTAAAGTAGCGCGCTCTTTATAGCAACTGATAATATAAACGTGGCACCATCTACTGGCATTTTATTTCTTTTCTTCGTTACCTTACACCTGTAATTTCTGAACAATTGCAGCAGATACATAATTTGTAATCGATCGTAATTTGATTAAAATATACAATGAAAATATTAAGTAAAATAGTGTCACTGAAAGATTTTCTTTTTGAAGTAATCGATAAACGTAAATGAAACCGGTGAATTGGCTTTCGCACCTATTTGAAATTGAATAACAAAAAGTATCAAAATTAATTTGAGTCCAAAATCCACAACGAATTTTATGACATTAATATTGACATACGTGACCACTGTATAAATAAGCGCTAAAATTTAAATATATTCTTTTCCAAATTACTGCGTCAAATGCATTGGAAGATTAATATGTGATTGAGTTGAATGGATTGTAAGATTAATGAATAATTCAGTTGATTTGATTTGATTATAAGATTAATGTATAGAGTAGATGAAAATCTAACTTTTTAGTTTTTAGTTCTCGTGTTAACGCAAATTTGTACGAAACCTTATCGATATAGTTTATATTTTAAATGTAAAAATATATTATACAAAGAAAACGAGTCTATTAAGATGAAGAAAAAAACAATAAAAACATTACAATCGAAAAAATTTCAAGTCAATAATTATTAATATAATAATTGGACATGGAAAATTAATTTGGAAATTCGCTGAGTGAAAAATAGGTTAATGGTACATCCGTAGCACCCTGTTAAGACAGTTTCCATTTTTTTCTAAAAATTTGTACTAAAAACAAATTTAAGCCAAACACGGAGTTTTTTAAATGGCTTTGGAAATTCGAAGGGGATGACGGTCTCGTAACCATAAACAATCCCTATTATAAAACGAAGTAGAGCCGTCTTAACCTGCTGACAAAAAAGAAAAAGTGCTTTAAAAAAAGCGCGCCCTGGTGGTTCATCGGAGAAATTAGCCTCCGTTTATCTCTTCTCCATCTCTCTTTGTCGCTCCATCGCGAGCGCCGGTCTCTTACAGGCAAAGCGGCTCTCGATGAAAAGTATTGAATCGGTGACGTCACAAAAGGCGCCAGTTTTATATATATATATATATATATATATATATATATATATATATAGAGAGAGAGAGAGAGAGAGAGAGAGAGAGAGAGAGAGAGAGAGAGAAAGAGAGCGCGCGAGTGTGTGAGCGAGACAGGATAGACGTCCTCGCTCCTCGTCGTTGCCGAAGTTTGTCAGCACATCAAACGAACGGAGTCGGCTCGAGTCATCGAGCTGCCGATGTGACTCGCGAGTCTCTCGCCGGGATATCGAGCGCCGACAACGAGTTTCATGCGCGCGAGATTTCCGCCGATTGCGACAAGGAGTCCGACAGTCCACATTTCCTCCCCCCGCCGGCCAATTCGATAAAAGAATAAGAAGAAACACTTGGCGGTGGCTCGGTCGCCCCCTCCAGCCCCTAACCCAACCCCGACAGATCCTCCCCCTTCCATTAACCCTCCACTCGTCCGTCGTTCCCCCCACGAGTCCGACCGACGCGACTCGCGTACGCGCGCGCGCGAGCGCGCACTCATACACGGCCGAACGGCTCCTACCGCAACCCCCAACCCTCGATCACGATCCCGTGCACCCACCCACCCGCTCGTCCAGCCCCTCTCCTTGTCGGCGGTATCGGCGGCGGCGGTGGCGGAGCGAGAGAGACGATCAGTGTTTTCCAGCACGCACGCACGCGCCGCATCGCCGCATCTCCTCGTGTGTGCGCGCTTGTGTATATGTGTGCGCGCGCGCCCCCGTGTGCGTGTGCGCGCGGCGTACGACGAGTCGTCGGCGAAGTGGAGAGAAGGGACGTAGACGAGGATCGGCGACAGGTCAGGGGAGACGCGCGCTCCGGACTCTGGCTTTCACCCAGCCGTGCTTGGCCCCCGCAGTCCCCCACAGTCCGGAGACACGTGCGGCGGTGGCACTCGTCCTCGAGGGCACCTTCTGCCCCTCGTGTGGACGACCGGCCGCGCAGGTGCCGGGTGTTTTGTGCGCGGCGACGATCGCGCGCGCGTGTGTCCTGCCGAAGGAGAGCGAGAGGGAAGTTGGAGCTTGCCGGGCGACAGGAGAGGTGAGACGACAGGGCCCCCGGCACCCGCTCTTCTATCATTTCGCATCATTCCCGTTGATTTCTTCCTCCTCCTCCTATTCCTATTCCACTTCGTCATCGTCATCGTCCTCGTCCTCGTATCCGCGATAAGACCTCGTTCATCCTTATCGCAGCTCCTTCCCGGAGCCGCCACCGCTGCCGCCGCCGCCGCCGCCGTCGCCGCCGCTACCGCCGCTGCTTACCTCGAGCCCCTTGCTCATCAACTTCTTTCTACTTACCGCTGGCCCATAACCTCCAAACCAACTCCGCGCCCGCGGAGGGGCCATTCGAATCTCGTGCGCTACTTCGCTCAATCACCGACCTACGTCACACGTATATGCCTCCACCCAGTGTGCGTGACCCGTGTTTATTTGCGCGTTATCCATGAACGCAGAGGCACGGATCATCCAAGATGCCGAGCCGAATAAAGCCCGTGTGTGCTGAGCAAGGGAGCTAGGGAGTCAGAGATAAAGAAAGAATGCGTGCGTGCGTGCGTGCGTGCGTGCGTGCGTGCGTGCGTGCATGCATGCATGAGTACGCGTGTGCAAGAACGCAAGAGAGAGCAACGTAACAAAATTATTGGCATTTCTCCACTGCAACGGAATCGATACGTCCCTTTATTCCATTTTATTTCTTTGTTTCTTCCTTTTTTTTTCTTTCATTCGGGCTTGGCGCTTCGCGCCTCGTCGTACGTAAGCGCGCACGCACACGAGTGCACGCGGTGCGCGTGAGGCAAAATGAGAATTTTCGGTCGGTATGAAGAGACAAGAAGGATGAGAGAAGCCGGATAAACATCGGGTCCCTCCGAAAGTGAAAAAAAAAAGTAAAGGGACGAGGCGGCGAGAGAAAGATGGATAGACGAGCGTGTCAGCGCGTACGGGCGTATATGTATATGCGCGCGACTGTGTATACGAATAACGAACAGGAACGCGCGGCGGTCCGACGTACATTTCGAGGTTAGATCCCCTGCACCCCCGCTCCCTTTCTCGTGCAATCTCTCTCTCTCTCTCTCTCTCTCTCTCTCTCTCACACACACACACACACATGCACACATCTCCCAGATCTGTCTATCTTTTATCCGTTTGCCTGACTGCCGACTAACTCTCCAGCTATCCTTCTCTTACGTGCGCTACAACGTGCGAAAAAGTCATCGGGTACGCGCACTGTTCTCGGTTGAGCTACTCCGTGCCGGGTTAAAAGTATTGCTCGGAGGCGGCGGAGGCGGTGGTGGCAGCGGCAACAACAGCAACACCACCAGCACTAGCAGCAGCAGTAGTGAACGCCCATTTCTCGCTGGCACGGGCGTTTTGCTGCTGCTGCTGCTGCTGCTGCTGCTGCTTCTGATGCTGTGACTCTCGAAACTCATGACAGAATCGCAGATTGATGCGATCGATATTGTCACTGGCTCGCTTATTTTCTTTTCTCGGTGTTCCTGATGCACGGGACGACTACCCTCGCGAGATGTTCCAAGCGTCTCTACCGTATGGCCCCGTCGATCCATGCCTCCTTATCTAAGCTTTTCCGTTTTCGACTCTTTTCCCTTTATGACTCCGAGAGCTTCCCTCTAGCCCTACACGCTCGCACGCATTGCAAATTATTCGCTCGACCCTCACTTTTAAGATAGCAACGCGATATGAGCGATGTTCATATCGAGTCGGACATTATTGTATATTGGCGCGACCTAGGCATCGTTGTAATGTAGAGTAGTGGGAGGAGGAGGTGGTGCCTTCCCAATGCCTGCATTTCGAGATTTGCAGATTCGAATTTCAATGGACGCGGAGTATCTCGAGCTTTTTAACCATACCGTATACAAAAAGTCGGAAGGAAATTTCCATCATAAATTCTCGCGTGTGCTTTCGAAAGCACATTCGCTTTCTCCGGGGCTCTCCACACCTATTTCTTTAAAAGAGAGCAGCAACCTAACGACAAAGCTTAACGACGATCTTTCGTATTTCGCATTGCATGTTTGTTATTATCATTGTTGCTTTCCTTCATAATGCTCCTTCCCTTACTATTATTACCATTGTAATTATAAGACGTTTTATCTCGCTATGAGCCAGTTGAATTCATTAATACACTTGCAGTACCATGGCACAATGTATCCTTATAAATTATTTGCATGCTTACAGTGCAAAATGTCTAATTTATGCAAATGTATTAATAAAACATTCTTATTCTAAACTATGAAATTCTAAACTTGTGATACATATGAAATGAGTTTTGCAGTTTTCATGCTCTTTCGCGAAACATGTCGAGAATTCACATCTCCAGCCCCATCCTTTAAATCTTCGGTTTATCATTTTTTCTTCTTTACTTCTCTTTAAAATTTTAACTTTTTAATTATCCTTTGCCATCACTTATTATATAAATGCCAAATTCCCCAATTAACCAGCTTCGTAAAAGATTATAAAACGTAAATATACAAAGAGGCATATATAATGTCAGTGGGTGTGCGCGTGTGCGTGCTCTTTCAAGAATTAATATTTTTATGTCAATAAAAGTTTGAAAAGTGTTGGGCATTAATATAATTATGGCTGTATGTATATATATATATATATATATATATATATATGAATACATACTTTGGTGTATTGCTTTTTCGTGAAATAATTATTCATACGAATCTTTTAAAATATTACAAATTTTGATAATTTTAGCATTTTAAATATAAATTTGTACAAATGAAAACGTGTTTTTGTTAAAAATAAAAAAATTATATTATTTAAATTTTTACACTCCTCGTTACATAGTTTAGTTAAACAATGAGAAGTTTTAAGTACTTGGGCTAAGCATTTTACTAAGAAATTAAAACTTTCTATGGGCTTTGAAATAGCAAAAAAAGAGCACATTTCTAACTGCTTATTATATTATATATTTTATTCGTACAATTTGCACTAAATTCTTTCTTATAATATTATATATTATATTATATATATATATATATATATATATATATATATATATAAGAATTAAACAGGTAAATAATTTTGTTAAATATAGTAAAAAATTTGTGATAAAAATATCTTCGATAAAGTAAAAAATTAGAATCTTAAACGACACTCTTAAGCGATATGAATAAATATATACGGAAAATTCAAATTTTATCTCAAACTTCGGTCTCTTATATAGTTTAATTTTTTTTTAATTTTAAATATTAAAACAATTTGGAATTTATATATTTCTTTACTGATATATTACTAAGTTTTGTGAAGAAAATAATCTATTCTCTGTTCAATGTTAAAAAATCAATTTTAATTTAATAATCAGCCAATACATAGTACTTTTTCTAATTCGCTCAGTTATTTTATGTAAAAAGTATGAATGTCTACAAAATAATGTAACAAACAATATTTATTACAAAGTTATTTATAAAATTTGGACTTGTAATATCGAAATATAATATAAGTGCATTAATAATCAATCTTTGTAAAGTATTTTAAATTTGGAATGTTAATGTTTGAACATTAACTTTAAGCAATTCAACAACTTAACTAATACAAGTTTATGTAGTTCTGCAAATTTTCAAAGTAATCCTTATACGTATTTTCATATATGATTTGTTATTTTTAATTTCGAATTAAAATTTATTTCGGTATATTTCTGTTACATATTTATATATTTATTTTGACTTTTATTTATGAAAAAATAATTGGAAAATAGGAAACAAGATGGAAATAATAAGGTTGATTACATAGGCACTAATAGAAATTGCATGTGTGTATGGTCGAATGTTTTATCTCTCTTCTCTCTCCTTTTTTTTTTTTTTTTTTTTTTTTTTTTTATTATCGCACAAATCAATATTAATTTGGAATTAAACATTATGACATTGCACGACGATCGGGAACCAAATAAAGAATAAAAAATACTACAACAACAGCAACAAAATTAATCAGTCCGATGTTCTTTACTAAAGCATTCGAATGACGTAAAATTAAAACTATAACAAATTTAAATTACCTATATAAAAATTAAAAAAAAAAAAAAAAAAAACTCATAGTGCTTTATCACCAACACTTGATAATTTATTCGAGTGCGAAAGTCATAAACGTTATGAAATGACAAATCGTTATAGCAGTATTTGAAAATAATGCTTTTTCTTTCGTTTAAACTCTAGTTCTCTGCAATATATATACATGTATATACTCTTTATTGTTTTGAATCAATACTTAATTTGAAATAACAAACACCTATGTATTTAATAGCGATAAATATAATTGAATTAGATTTCAATATGAGCTATAAATCGTATTATAATTGATACTTTGAATTGTATTCAAACACGTAATACATTATATTTTTTACTGTAGACACTACATTTGATCGTATAATTATACATTCGATTATTAATATTTTCATCGTAGGTCTGAAGCTAACTACTATGTAGTAACATTGGCATTCGAATTAATATTAACAGTAAACAATTTTTACAATTTTTTAATATTTTAGATAAATGTAAACTAAAATATCTATTAATCCTAATGCCGATTTAAATTTTAGCTTAGAACTTATAACTTTTTTGTTATTTAATTGGACTTTCGCTTCTTGCTATCGTATAAAAAAACTATCCTTAATTTCTTGAAACATTAATGATTTTATGAGCATTGGTTGTTTTGTTATTTTAGAGTATTGTAAAAAAAAAAAAAAAATTAATAATTAACCTTAGAAACTTTATTGCGCTTTACAAGAAACAAAGCAATACAATCTCGTAATACGGCTTAGGATAATTATTTATTTTCTAAAGAATTATTTTTCTATTTTAGCTATGAATTGTTAAATAAATAACAAAACGTAAATATACATAAATTGTAGATTCGCGTTTTTTTTTGTTTTTTTGTTTTTTTTTTTTAACAAAAATAAGTTTATTTAGAAAACTTGAGCTCGAAACAATAGTATATTCGTACTCTATAGAAAGGCGGCATAATTGCACATTGTAAGTCTTTCATACGTACATGCAATTTTCATCTTTTCCATTTTTGTTTTAC